GACGATTCAAATCAATGATGAAATCATGGAAACCAAGCTAAATTAAATATGTCTTCAAACTGAACACTAATTGGAGATAGGTAGCACTTGCTATATACACAGATCCTTTTTAAATATCAATATAAGATTTCGTTTTGAGAAGAATTTTTAAACAGTTTAATTTATAAAGAGATGGATAGGTATGAGCGGTAGATAAGTGGATAGTAAATGCATTGAAAAGTGAGATTGAAAATGAAGTTTGACCAGTTATAAATGATTTATAAATTAGCAAAACAGAGGCTAAGATGTCATTTTAACCACAATCCAAACAATAGGAAAGTAAAATTTGAAATGAAAATAGCTCTTACTGGATCTGTCCATTTGGCAGAGATGGCCTCTGAAATCTTCCTCCTCTGCTCAGCAGACTTGGGTGCTCTCTTGCTTCCCTTTGGCCTTGACATCCTTTTCCTCTGTTCAACACTCTGCAACCACTCCAGCTCAAGCTGTTCATTCAAAACCTTATATGAATCCCACTGCAATTCTTCCTCACCAAGAACACCCCTTCTGGCAGTATCAGCAATTAAATTCAGCCACTCATAGTAGCAGGTCTCCTGTAAGATCAACTTCTCACGGCGTTTTTCCCACCCTAGTCTGACACCAACACCAATTCTCATCCTTGTTTCTTCACTGTATATTCAGCAAGAAGAAATGTAGTGTAACCATGCAGAAACTGTAATTGAAGATCAAAATGTCCATTCTTCTGGCAAACTCAAATAGACCACAACCACAAGTAGCCAATGGGCTTAAAAAATCCATAGTATAATGTCATGAAACTTAAATGAAAACTGAAAAGTTTCAATAATCGATCAAAAGTATCAACAAACCATTGACAAAGAGATGATTAAATTTTAATAAGATTTAATGTAGTTCAGCAGATGGCGAGTAACAACATGTCAAAAGCCAAGTCGACCAAAACTTTTAGCTACCTCCAATAAATGGATCAGCATACAGCTAGTCAACCTGAACAAGGTACTTCTATAATAATGAATCTATTATTGTTGCATCTGAAGTCAATCATAAATATAACAGTTGAGATAAGCAAACCCAGAAATGATCCCAAATGAAAATATATGACATTGCAAAACACACCTTTGAGCATGCCCCAGGTTAGCTAACTTCATTTTGACCTGTGTACACTAAACTTGTCAATGGAAATTACAATCTCAAAACAATTAGAGTTAGATAACAAGCAGACATTGCTATGGGAACGTAACGAAATTAAGATATACTGGTGTTAGCTCATGATCAGAACTTGAATTATTCAAGATATCATAAGATTTAGGTGAGAATGACGTTGAAGGAGAAAAAGATCACTTTATCACACACTACAACCCAGAAAAACATGGATACACACATAGGGGGAATGAATGGAGTGATTTCAAGAACACTGATGAGGCAACTCACAAATATGCAAATAATGGTATAATAGTGACTTCATGTTAAAGCAGTACAAAAAGCTTTTTAATCCCGGAGGTGCAGCTGAGAGCTTTAAGTCTAAACAAAGTTATTCAGCAAACTATAACTTCTATCCTGCGACACAGGACTTGATGTCACAATACCCTGACCTTCATCATTTAAAATCTTAATCATCCAGATATTTTCGAATTTGTTTTGTTATTGCGTAAAACTAGTTTCTTACATGACATCACCTTAGGATCCTGCATTGCAAGCCTGGTTCTCTCTCTGATCCGCTTTCGGGTTTCTGCATGTATTCAACGCTCTTGCAATTATTCAAGCTCTACCATAACATACTTGAAACATTTCAAAATTTCTGGTATTAACTTACCTGGACTGTGTTTCTTGCCTTTGTTCCAAGGTGTGTTCCCTTTATTTGCTTTGGAGATCCTCATCCGCCTCAACTTCTCTCTTTCGTCCACTTCAGTTGGGTTCTCACTTGAAGATTGCGGTTCATCCATGGCGGAATTAGAGCTTCTTGACTCAATATCCGTCCCCCAAGTGGTCTGATACTCTTTCACATGTTCCCTTTTCCGTATTACACAGGCGGATTCAAGGGTAGCAACTGACTTTATCATCAATCCACCCCGCCATACTCCAACACTCTCCGAGTTAAATTTTTTAACTTTTTCCCCAATACAGAATGATTTCCAAGAAAATGAAACTGCCAATCTCCTCTCATTTCCATTTACAAATTTATTACGTAACTGAATCTGAGACTTAACAGCTAATATATTGTTATGAAAACAAGAATAAGGGTGTGCAGTAGCAATATCTGCAAGATAATTTAGAACGAAAATTTCAGATTCATTGACAATTACTCCACTTCATATTTTCAGAGTTCAAATCAGGTATCAAAAACTTATACTGAGTAACTGATACATAAAAGAATCTAAAATGCCACACCCACATAGCCCGTTCAAAAAAGCTAAATTTATGAACTACCAGTAGAATACAAATAAAGTAAATAGTTTCCTTACCCAACATAGGCATGGGGAGGTCATCCAAGCACACAGTAGAGTAGTGTTCAGATTAAAATACTGATTGTTGCGTTGGGTAGAGATTCCATCCACCCACTGTAACTAATATATTAATACTGTAATTGTTGTTGCAATTTGCGTTTAGAGTGAAGAAATTAAGCGCAACGGGAGAGGAGATATGGAAGAACACCGTGAGAGGTAGAGGAAGAGATAAAGCCACAATTTAGCGGTGTTCGTTCTGTCCAAATGCTCACAGCCGCTGGTCTGGATAATGATACGATAAAACTTCTTACCATACGGTAAGTTTCATATACTGTTAATTACTACACTTTCAGTAAAATTTTAACATCTTTAATTTCAAATTTCAATCGTAAATTCATAATCAATTTTTTTTTTTTTTCAAACTAAATGACTTTTATCGATGAACCCTTACTTGTAGCGAAAGAATACTATAATTACATAAGATTTGCAAAACACCATTCATATCATAGTAAGCCAAATTACTTGTAATCTAGAACAACATTGGAAGATTTAAAGATAAACTGTGAGGAGAAAAATCACGAAAATTAGGACTGCTCAGTTTATCCATACACAAAGCTCCTCTAGCCGATGATGGGATTGTGATAGAGTCCATCCAAATATGTGAAACACAAGACGCTCCCAATTTCGATAGGATATCAGCTACCGAGTTACCCTCTCGATATATGTGTTGGATTCTACAAGAGATTATAGATAGCAGGTATTGTATCTCTTCCCAGTAATCTTCTAGATATCAAATACCACAAACCTTCCTCCTTAATCAATTAACGATAATCAATGAATCTATCTTCACTTCAAGACGATTAATCCCCATCCTTTTAGCATGTCGAAGTCCATATAATAATGCCAATAGCTCAGCTCCATTATTAGTACCCTCACCAAGTTCCTCAGCAAAGGCTATGACAATATCACCTCTTTCATTCCGAATAATACCTCCAGCACCACAAATTCCAGGATTGGCCAAGCAGCACCCGTCAGTATTGAGTTTGTGCCACCCTTCCAGTGGTCGTTGCCATCTCACTACTTTAAATTTTTTCCGCTTTATTGGCTTGTCCGGGATATTAAGCTCCCTCGACATACATTCATCTCTTCTGTTAAATGTTCTCGCTTTTTTTATTTTTAGCCCCACCCAAAGGATCCAAACTTTAATTTTCCTCCAAGTGGCTTCTATAGATTCCCTCTTGTCCTCCATCTTGGCTGAACATCGTCACAACCATAAATGTCAGCAAATAATACTAGGAGTAATGCCCACAAGAGTACCTTTATGTGGTGTTTGTTTTGCTCTTCGGAACCAGGCTTCAACGCGCTCCCTCCACCCTCGAGTCTCTATATATTGAATTTCCAATAAGGTTGAAGCTTTTTGTCAAATTTGTTGGGCAACGTCACCCAAGGCCAATACGTGATCCAGATCTTCATGTCCCCCTTGATAGCAACACATTTTCTTTATAAATTTACCAATCGCATCATCCCAACGCTATTTCATGTCTTTAGTGGTTTAGTTGAACTAAATTGAGAGGGTGTTTGATAGAGATTTTGAGAATTGATTTTTTGATCGCTAGAATTAAAATTGGGTCTTATTTGTGAGAGACGAATTTAAAAATGACGGCTGGAATAGTAAAATAATGATAAAAAATTTAATTTTAATTGACTTAAAATCCCCATCAAACACCCCTTGAATCTCTATGATTTAATTAAAACAAATTAAAGTTCAAGATTAACTTGACCCCCTCTAGAGTTTCTCGAAAAAGCTATTTCAGCAAGTCGGATGGTTAATGACTATTTACTCTTGAAGTTATGACAATAATTATTATTTTTTACCCTTTTATGTCCATTTTCCAATATGGGGAAATTTGCATGGCTCAGCTTCCTTCGAATATTGAATTGAGTATGATCTTCCTTCAAATATTGAATAGAGTTTTTCCATATTTTGACGGGAGAATGAGACATTCCTGTAATGATTCTCAATATATAAAGTTACCCTTTCACCATATTTAAGATATGAACAAAAACTCTTGTATTACTGTAACACCCCTTTTGCATCAAATATATCCATTAACCATCACTTTTTCCCAAAAAAAAAAAAAAATACAATAATTTCTCATCACTCTATTTTTTTTATGTTCTTGTAGTATCTCCAGCTGAATGGAACTTCGCTCTTTTATTCATTATGGACCTTTATTTCCATATATCTCCACGTAAATCACTCGTAAGAAAATAAAGACGATTGTCGAAATGCTAAGTCATCAAAGAATGTGTACGTGTTTTTTCTTTTAAATTGAGTGATACACAATAACAAGAAAAATGTTTCTAAGCATGATGTTTCTTAAGAAAAGCACGATGTTGCATGTCTAGAAATTCAACATCAAAACTAATGGCAACATAGGTCATCATGCAAATGTTGTTCCTCGTATGATATTTTTGGATGGAAAAGGTAACTGAGTGACCAAACTAAAACAATATTTAAAATGTGTGTGATCTAAAATGAAATTAAAAGAAATTTTTGAACCTCAAGTATTACACAAAAATTGCACTTACTTATTCCAATTCATATACAACTCGAGAATTCTAAGAGAGAGAGATTGTACAAAAACTTTATGGGTAACATCATTTAATATCTTTATGAGGAGATTTTCCATGGGAATAGCAGCCTGGTTGAAATAATCTCGAATTCTCATTGTAAGGAAAAACCAAATGGAACTGCCTCCTAAAATAAAATAAAAAATTTTGAAAAATAGGAAAAAGAAATATATTCAATTCCCAACTAGTAGGTTCAAATTTACAAGTAAACAGAATTTACTCGGTAGAGGTAACACCTTCTGCGCTCTCTTCGCATAAATCTGTCTGTGACTTACTAGGAATGATTGTAGGAGGTGACCATTGATCGGGAACCATCAGAAAATATGTAGTCATTGCTTTCCTGAACCTCTTCTTGTATTGCTTTGGCGAAACTACGGTTGGGGAAGCATTCTTCAGGCCACCAAGTATGCCTGTCGTCTTCACCCAAGTCTCGAGGTGCTTGTCCCAAGTGTACTGTCTCATGAAGTCAATAATCCCAACAACAAGCTCTTGCTTCTCTTCATCAACCCCAACTAGAAGTGAGTAATCCATTACATCTATAGACTGCAAGATCACAATTGGCTTAATTAGCATAAATGAGGTGGTTTCGTGGATGGTTTGGAGTTATAATCAGGTTTTTTTCTGTATATAGTAGACTGGTTAATATCATAGGATTCTGCTCCTCTTACATTCTAAAGCAAATGTTGATTACTGGTATGCACACAAGGTTTTATAATAATTAATTAAAAGAACAATAATAGACATGAGCAAAGAGCAATCTGGGAAATGCACCATACAGCATGCAGTGCAGACGAGGGACAGATAGGCAGATACATTTTGCCTTGCATACCTTAAAAAGTTTCCAAAATTCAATTTCAATCCATCAGCATTTTGAAAAGCAGGTTCTATTGTAGTGGTAATGAAAAAGAATGAAGGATATGAATCTTTACTTTAGATCAGTTCAACGCCAACTTTCATGTCGGTGCTTTAATGTGTGTATTTCAAGAAACAAGTGCTGAGTTTTTCAAATAATAAGCAGAGAAGATGTAAACTTACTGCGAGAAAAGCAGTATCATTCCAGACAGCTCTCTCCAACAATCTCTTGGCTTTATTCCCAACAAAAATAGGAGAAGTAGGCATAGCTTCAATCAAGTTCTGATCCAGCAAAACCTTGTTACTTCCACTAGAATCAGGATTGTACCGAGACCTGGAAGATCCTTTTAGATCATATAGCCGTGTAAGATTTCTACCAAACAGAAGATTCTCCATAACCAACACATCCATTTTTGATTCCTTTCCTCCTTTGAGATGTTTTGATGTAACCTTCTCAACATACAAAAGGTCATGTTGGTATTTCACAGTAATCATAATGCCCAAGAAAATAAAAATAAGAAATAAGAAAATAAAAGAAAAGAAAGAAAAAAAAGAAATCTCGATCTAGTTTTAAAGTAATTAAACTGCCTTCATAAAAACAGATATATATTGGTAAAAGAATGAATGTACAGGAGAATTCCGTTCTCATTTGCAATATACCAAACTAGAATTCAAATATATAACCAGAGTTGTTGTAGAAGCTACTTTATGCATGATGCCAAAAGTTAGGTCCCGATCAGGACCGGCATTCCAGCAATCTCATTCAGCTGAAATCTTATAGAGTTACTGCCCTAATGCAGAGGTATGTACCATTCTACCAGCACACCTGACTGCTTAATAACCATTTTGAATTCAAAATATTGAAGTTAAACAAGAAGGCAATCTGTTTCTTGGGCCATCATCGAGCACTCCAACATTTGAGTAGTTAGTTACATCTGTATGTAGTATTTAAGCAGTGCATTTCAGTAGAAGGTATCTTTAATACATTATAGTGTTTTACGAGTTAAGAAGATGAAAAATGTGTTACTTGATCTGGAGGAAAGTGTGTCAGCTATTAAATTCAAGTCCCATATGTATAAAAGGAAATTAATTGCGAGAATAAGAAATTATGAACTAAACAAATAAGCTAATTCAGATTCAACTATTCAGAAATACCTGATATATCCCAAGGATCTTTGCCAGGCATGTTGGGCTACCTGAGCCAATTGATTCGGAAAGATACTTAAAATATCCAGGAGCAAACTTGATGAATGATTCCAGCTCAGTCTTTGTCACTTGCTTAATGATGAATCGATCATCCAAGGTTTTTGCAAAAAAGACATTGCTCTTGCCACCTTGGGCTCCCCATTTCTTACAACGACTAAGTGATCTGACGAAATCCATCTCGGATGGACAACATATCCTCCTCAAGGCTTCAAAACGTTTTGCAGAGTAACAAGTAACTGTATATTTTACCTTCCCAGTGGGTCCATCATCTACAAAAGAAAACATTGAGTCTGCAGTGTCCTTTGGTCTCTCAAGCTCATCAGACAGCTGCACAAGATATGCAGGTGACACGAGTGCATAAGATATAATACTTGTGGGCTCATCATCATAGACTGGAACGACAGTGTCATTAACCCCTACAGGCAGAAGCAACTTGGCTCCACCCTGGAATTCCGATTCCCGAAATGATGATATGTACACTGGATTATATTCACGGAGTGTATCCAGTTTCTGATCAGTCCCCAAAAAAATGTTTAATGACTTGTAGATACTTATAAAAGACACTCCCAACCAGCTCACTGTATCTTCCATAATATCAGAGCCTTTAGTAGGCAATATGAAAGGCAGTTGAGACACCTTAGACACGCTCAGATTATCCCCATGGTCTTCCACGTCCAACTCTTCTGCCACTCCAGCAGTGTTTGAAGAATGTGCTTCAAATAGTTCAGGTAAGTTATTATTCATAGGTACTCCAACACCTGGGTGATTTTCACCGGTCCACGCTGCATCAAGAGTGTCTGATAAACAAATAGGGAACTGTCCATCAGAGAGGGTTCTACGAACAGCAACATTAGATTCCAGGAGATCTAATTCATCAAAGGACTTTGTCCCGATAGGAAGCGTTGATGGATTTACATATCCATAATTGGAGTCAATACCCACATCAATTCTTCGATGAACTACTTCAGGATGGCTGTTGTACCTATTGCTTAACCCTTGATCATGGTTTTTGCCAGGATTTGCATCTGCAGGAACAGAATCAGGACTGCCTCTCTTAATAGGGATGATTGTATCAAAAATGCTCTCATTGACACCAATGGATTTCTCAATAGGTTCTGAATTGCTGACATCCAAATCATCCTGTTCATCCTTCTCATTTAAACTGGCTGCATATATCAGGCGATGGTCCCACACATAAGACTGGAAGACTAGTTGTCTTTGTAGTCGATTGATCTCAAAAATATCAATGATTGGTTGGCCCTTTTTTGCCTCCCTGTTCAAAATTTTCTGAAGGGTTTCCTGCCAAATTATTGAACTTCCATCAGCATCCACATGATAAAATGTAGAGGTTCTTGCTTAATTTTTCCAATTTAACGTTGTGATGCATATTAATTAATACAAAACTTCTATCAGAATTCTAGTAATGTATATCTACTAGGAGTCTATATTGCAAAGGATCAAATTCAAAAGTATACTTCTTGATGATCAAGTAGTGTTGTTTTCCAGCAACGCAGGCTAATAGAGCGAATGAGAAGATAGTTTTTTTTCCTTCATAATTTGTGTTTCCCTACTATGGGGTTCTCAAATAGGGAGGCTGCTAAAAACAATATGATAACTCCACCTTCGTCTTAGACTGGCATGTGGTTTTATTAACCGCGCAAAAATGGGAAGAAATTCTTGTTTTCACCAAACCATGTGAAAAATATGGGTTTGACTAAGAGCAGTAAATAGGTTTACCCACCCAAAGTAAGGCAACATTCTCCATCTACATGCATATCAAAGGGAATCTAAAGCAAGTATAATTAGTGGTAACAGATATAGAAAATAAAACTAAATATTCAAAATTAAGCCCAGACCTCGAATTCTGCCTTTTCTTTCTGCAATATCCCTTCTAAATCTGTTATCTGGCGTCTTGATTCAGGTAATTTCATGCCAATATTGAGCGAACCAAAGCCAGATTTTTTTTCTGCCAAAATAGAGAGAGCATTGAGCACTTCAGAGAACAAAAGTTTAGCCCGTCCTGCTACCTGTTAGAATTTAAAAGGTTAGATTAAATAAATGCAGTGAAGTTTGATGTACGAAAATAAAAAAATATTCATTTCACCTTATGCAGTTCATTTTGCATCCACTCCCGACCTTCATAGTTAAAATCAAGTTTAGGGGGAGGAAGGTATACAGAGTGAACATCAATTGATGCATAACGAAAGCAAGCAATCATTTGGCCAAATCTGCAAGTTACATAATTATCATTAAGCCAGGCAAAATGTAAACCTGGAAGAAATGTACTCCCTATTCCAATGCAACTTTCTTCCAAGAAAAAAAAAAATAACCAAAAGAGCATTTTCTTTAAGGTTTAGGAAATAGGATATACAGAGGAAGATAACAGGATGGCACAGTTGAACACTGCATGCCATATATCGGCGGATATGAATATTTGTCCATCAGTAATGGAAATTAAATTAGTAGGAATATAAGCCGAAACATCTCCCACTTGAGTTTCAACTATTTGTATCAAGTTATATGTGGTCTGAGTGAGCCTTGCTGGAATAAAGAGCTTATATGCATTTATGACATTCTTAAGATTCTGACATATTGTATAAAGGATACTGTGCAAGAGATCATACCCATAAAAACGAAGACAGTCTCGATGTAAAGAATGGCCACAGCTTGCCACTCTACTAGCAGCCGCATGGTTTGAAAAACTTAGCTCTAAAAACTTTCCAAAAGACAATCCCCAAGCAGCATCAGACATAATAACCCTTCGAGTTGCTGGAGGGAAGCCATTACTTCGTGGACACCGCAGGCACCTATGCCACATCCAAATCTTTCCTTCTGTTTTACCAGGTAAAAGAATTTCTGACACTCTCTTAACTGAGATCGTAAGGGTGCCTTGTCGATGAGTAAAACACTGGACATGAGCTTCAGAGGGCATCTCACATGAACGACACCTAGAACTCTGTCATAGAAGTTAGACCACTCTTGGTTTAATACAAGTTTATAGGGTTCATAATATTAGAACAAAGTTTGTATGTGGTTGGGAGAGAGAGGGGGAGAGTACCTCATCAAATAAATGATCCCGAAGAAACCGGCCCAATGGCTTGTCAAAATTTCCATAGTATTTGATCCGGAAAAGATGGGATCGTTCACAGACAGTTCCTTTCCAGACACATCGCGATGATAGGGAAACCAAGATGCTTTGATGGTCAGAAGGGGATGGAGGAAACTCATCTTTTAACATTGCTTGTTCTTCAAGAATGTGTTTTCCATCAAGTTGCAAAGCTGATGGATTTGAACTAGGGTTTGTATCGCAATCATTTTGCATGTTGTTGATGTTTGAATCACCCAAATTATCAGCTACGTGATGATCTTTTTTGGCATCCAATATGCTGTCTGCTTCAGAAGTTTCTCCCCCTGAAGTCTTTCTCAAATCTACGACAAATTCTTTTCCTGATGCATGAAATGAAGAGGGCTCAGTGAAGGAAGGATTCTGAATGCCTTGCACAAAAGATGCGACGAGGGGTTTGGTGTGCTGAGAGCTCATCACAGGAGGAAGAAGGTTATTCGTCTGTACAATTTGAATTTCATGTGTAGAAACACTTGAGAACTTGACTAAATCTGAATCAGGGACACTTTTCGACCTCTGAGGTTCGCCAACAGTTTGAGGTCCCAGACTATTTTCATTAGCAGGGACTGCAAAACCAGGTATCATTGAGATGGACCTGTGAATGGCTGATGACTTGTCTGGAAGTGCAACTGTTATTGGAGAGTTTAATGGAAATTCTGGCAGAGAGGCACCCTCATCAGCAAGAAAAGATGTCTCTAAAGCTAAGTGATACGCTGCAAATACTCCATATTGTACAACATGTTTCACTTTCTTCAACTCATCCCCACTGGCACCTCGAAGTAATATCTGAAACAATCAATACGATGATAGCATTTTAGAAAAATGATGCTTATTGGCTGCCTTCACAAGTAATGAGGTATTTAATGAGATAGGTAACACGTTTCCCTCAATGTATGTGACACTTAACAAGTACCCCAAGAAAACAATTTGTTTGTAAAAATAAAGAAACATTATCAATCAAAGTTCACAACAAGAATGCTCAGAAGATTATAGAATTGTCCATATCAGTCTAAAAATTAGAGATATATTTGCTGTAGTTTTAATTCAAGAGGATGATTAAGATAGCTGACTTTTACAGACCATATCTAATCATATGAATTTCAATTATCTAATATTAGTATCATTATTCTTTTTCATGTCACTGGTTGGGAAAGACTTACAGTGCAACCCAATGGCTTTGGACAACCCTCAAAATACATCAGTGTCTTCACCAGCTTCTTTCCACCTTGCCCAGCTGTGCCATGCTCTTCTGAAAACCTCTCAACATGGAACATGTCACAATATCCCAATTTCAGTGAGGATAGACTGTCTATAGACGGAACTATTTGACCACCTGTGCAGCGCGCTATACGCTCCAAAAGTGGCCTTTTGATATTTAGAACAAGTGATATGTCTTTTGCAAGAAGGTACTCTTGAGCATATCGTGAAACAGATTTCTCTACCAAAAGAATATCAGGATTGTGAACATCTATCTTAGCAACAGCCATCTTAAGATGATCCATTTCCTGAAAAGATGTAGATCCAAAAGTTCCAGATGTAAAGAATTACATTTAAACATTACAAGGTGCCAACGACCTTAAAGTTTCTGTACCCACTAAAATCATTAAAAAAAAGAGAGAGAGAGAAATCAATGATCTCAACCTGCTGCAACAGTGTATCAAAACTCGAAAGGGCATTAGAAACCCGCTGGTACTCAAGAGCCCCTCCAAGGATCAGTAAACGAGGTTTCTCTATTTTTGATGTCATCCGCCGATGCGCCACATTCTTCTTGCAAACAACTCCTTTGACCACCATACTTTCCAATGGAAAAAAGATCTTCATAAGAACAAATTTATAAATGGACACCAAAAAAAAAAATGGAGAATTTCGGATCAGGATGTTATGTCACCACCAGTAAAAACGAAAAATAGAAGTGAATTTAATTGTTCTGCTTGAGTTCATTGAATAGATCAAGGTACAAATGAAGTTCACATAACTCAGGATGAACCCTAGTGAGTTTATCGATAAATATCGAACTTAACTTTTAAAATAATATGATTCTCTAACGCAAACTGAATTTATTGGGAAATATAGCTATATATTAATCAAACACTGATACAATCTACCATCCACAATCTATTCTAAAATAACAGCAAGGCTGCATAAAAAAGATACCAATATTATTTGTTGTTCAATTGTCCTTCCATATCAAGAAGCACATTTTTCACTTCAGTTGCTACTTTTTACGCAGGATTGAAGGAGATTAAGGACAAGCGAAAGAGGAGCCTCATTTCCTTGTATAGTAGGAAGGAAGGGAAGAGGAGGATGGGGGTTAGTCAGCAGATGAAAACAAAAAGGTTCAGCACCCCAAATAAAATAAAACCACCAAAATAGCAACTAAATTGATATCTCCCCATTCCCTTTTCCTCCAATTTTCCTCTTACATAACTAAGAAATGTTCGGTATAATTGCTCTTTTTTAATATTCATAAATGGATACGTCTGTGAAAAGATATTTTTTTGGCTGAGTTGAATAACAATGATACTTCTTAAATTCAGATTTTTTACCCATTATGAGAGCTCTGCTAAATTTGGCTAGCTTTTCAAATGGATACAACTTTACTAGTTCAAATAATCACAACCTTTTTAATTCATATTAGCAGTACCGCATCACAATTTTCCTTGGAATTAATGTTCTAAATCTGTCGCAGCAAATTATGAAAATATTCACTACACCAAATTTTTAAAATATAAAAGGGTCAATACAGCTTTTATCTGCAACAAAATTTGGCTATGGGGAGAGGTCATGGGATTTAAAAATGATCAGTCTTTATTATTTTACTTTTGCAATAATAGATACATCATTGATAAAGTGGATGGAGAATGATGAACAATGTAAATAAAGCTTTGTGAGTGTAGCTTTTTCAATTTCTTGGGGACAAAATCAAAAGGGGAAAAAGGTTTAGAACTTCTTCCATTAATCTTAGACACTACTGACCATGACCTTCGCTCTCCAGAACTCTAATTTATAATTTCTGCTTCATTATAGCTACTTAGAACTCATGATATTATACCGTCTAAAAATAACACACACCGCAGACTATTATCATGCAGTTCTTGTGTGAGGTCAGCATAAATTAAATGAAAGGTGTATGATCTTTAATGAACCATTGACCTAGAACCTAAAGTAAACACACCTAAAATTGTTCATATTATGGTCACAATTCTGAGCTAGTACATATAACTTGTGACAAAACTCTTTTTCTCTGAGAACCACCATGATAAGTTTCAAGCATCCTTAACTATTTCTTTGAACATATGCACAAATATGACTCTTTTCTTGACCAACTCAACATACATATAGCCTTCATAATTGATCTTCAATGAATAAATCCAAATTGGATCTCTAAAAATTGCTTGAGGTCACAGTCTATGGTCAATCAGTCTCCCCCAACCTTTCATTATACAAATGACTGGTAAGAACACGATTAATCGGCAGAAATATGAATATCTCCTTTAATTTCTATTCATTAGAAAAAAAAAAAAAAAACCTCTTCTTCCATTGGTTCAGTTTTCCTTGTTTAATATAAATGTAATTAGGCTTTTAGCCAAAGACTATAAAACATGATCACCTTATCTCATGCCCTTTCTAATGTCCACTTCTTCAAATGATGGTGATTTGCACAATGGCAATAATTTTCTTAGTTTCAAACAGATATAAATCAAAAAATTCCAAGAAGGCAACCTATGGATTTGTGTAACATTATTCGTCAATAAATTAGATAAGACATTTGACAAAATATTCAGATAAGAAGCCCTCTCTTAGAAAGCCAGTGATTTTTAATTAGTATTAAGAAGTATTGAAGTTATACCAACCATGACATATGTCCATAGGGTCAATAATATTTTTTTCAAGAGAAACCACCTAATAACTTTTTAACATAAATACCTAGCCTCACCAAAAAAATATACTAATGCACATGAGAGCAAAGCAAGAGTGAGAAGTAACTTTTCAACAATACCAGATTCCCTTTTTTAATTATGAAATTCATATAACAAGTGAACCAATATAACTTTGAAAGAGAAATAGTTTGCAAAGAAGGCCGGCTTGTGCAGACACTTCTAATCTTTCGTGTCATTAAATTTATTGTGAGTTAGAAGAGCACAGTAGCATATTCAGAATACATAAAAGTAATTACCTGTCACTGCGACGCCCAGAAGCTAAACGTTTTACCTTTACATACCCTCCGGGGTCCATTTGCCCACCCTTGCTTGTATCAGGTTTTAATAATGTAGCAGCCTCCCATGACAATGATGTTATTATATCTAACCAAGACTCTTTGTCATTATCCCCTCCTGAAAGAAGGTTCTCCACCTGCAAAAGCTGAGATACTAAAGCCCTGAAATGGCCATCAACCACATTTTTCATAGCCTTCTTGTGTTCCTCGTTCGATTTATCCCTGCTCCTATATTCCCCACTCCCGAAGCTGCTTGAATTACGAAAATATCCCCATTCCCCAGTGGGGTCCTCATCATCTTCATCATCGCACAGAAGTTGTTCCCTTTCATCTTCCTCATCTTCTGGTTCAGGAGGGAGCCAGAAATCTCCACTGTTCTCAAAATCCATGTGTTCAGCATCATCTTTAGTCGTGCATAAAGAAGCTCCTTCAAATTCATCATCAATATCATGTTCGACTTCTTTTTCCGCAATCTGCTGGACTTCTTTGGAAGCCTGAGATTCAGAACTATTTTGTAACAAAGTGATGCTCATACTTTCTGAATCAACGACGCCAGCAGGATCCACTTTGCGCGATTCGTAGTCATTTTCAATATCATCAAACTCAACCGGACCATAGTAGTCATTAACTTGGGAAAAATGCCTTCTTTCGGAATCTAACTGATAAACTCCAAACTCTTCTTCATAACCATCACTTCTGATTGAATAATGTTCAAAGCTATTGAAGTCAAATAAGTTAACGACGCATAAAGTTAATCTACCGGATAGTAATTGAAATGCTCCAGAAGATTATAATAGTAGCATTTACTTAATCAGGTACAGAAGCAGTTAGGACATAGATGGAACATAATTCCTAATTTGAGACAATGCACAATCAATACATCATTCAGAGGAGCACATTGCACAAGTGTCTATTAGCAGTTATTTGGCTAGAAATAACTTGAGCAGCTGAACTTCATTGCCTTATTGTGATCTAAGCAAAGAAGGTATGGAAAAGGTACGCTAGCAACTACTCCAATCACATGGCAGGCTCAATAAGCAAGTAAAATCTCATATGAACTAATGATTGTTGGTGTAAATATTATGTGCAGCATATAGAAGATACAGCAGAAAGCAGAGGGAGGAAACTGGAAAACAATATCTTACAGTAAACATAGATTCTATGTTAAAATGTTTTCTTGAACACGAGTTGGGGTGTTGGACATTATATGCCAGATATCAAATTAACAAAATGTCAATCCAAAAAAACAAAAATATCCTCATTTAGTGATAAAAAAAATCATGTGTAAAGCGCTTATTCAAAATGCACCTGACGTCACCACCCTAAGAAACTAGCTGGAAAGGACTTGTAGAAATACTCGTAGGCACATGTTAACTATCAATGTTCAATATTTTATGCAATCTACCATTTTGAGCATGGATTAAAGCTTTAACACTATGCTACTTACTACAAGTAGTCAAAAGTGAAATATACAAGTGCAGAAAGAAGAACCTGTTTGTGCAAAATTCAAATTGTTCAGGAGACTGATCCCTATCTATTGTGTCTACAGGATTCTCGTTGCTACTTGCTGCTGCAACACTTTGATTTTCTGTAGTCTTTTCCATTACCGCTGCTGATTGACGTGGGCTCAGTCCAGTAGATTGTGGCAATGATGCAAATGTAACGTTACTACTATCAAAGGTTCCACTAGACCCGGTGCTGATAAAACTAGTAGCTGAAGGAGAAGTAATACTAAGGTCCATGGTGGCAACATGTATCCCATTATCAACTGTCTCCGTCAATCCATGTTCCCATTGCTTAAAACAGAAATTGCAGACCCTAATCTTATCACAGTCTTCTCGTGGTGTCTTTGAGTCACTAGGTGATGTGGGGATCCAGTTTGAAGTGCACCTGGCGCAGAAAACTCGGCCGCAAAGTCGACAGTGGTGCCTACGGTTAAACAAGGTGAACTGTGAATCACATTCATAGCATACTCTACAACTCTGATCGGGCATCCAAAAATCCCTGGACACGTTAACTGGCTTGGACCGTCCAGGGATCCACGATTTCAGTAAACCCACTATATCAGAAAATGTCCCATCTGAGGCATCCATTGACTTGGTGCCCCTTTCCCTATCATTGTGATGTTCTCATCCGTTTACTACTCTCACATCCAATCCCCTGAAGAACCAAACGGAAAAATCACAAAAGTCCAATCCAAATTATAGCCAAAGCCACAAATTCTTGATGAATTCCTCAAGAATTCCCAAATTTCCAAAAAAAGTGCAATTAAAATTCTGTCAATAATACCCTAAGTCAATGAGTACAGGAGTAAACCAGGAGAATAATACCCTATGGAAGAATGGTTGACAACCAAGGGCTTAATTGTATCCTTCCATCAAAAGATTGATAGAAAAATAAGAAATTTGCTGTTAATGGTGACCCATATCCCAAGCGCACTGTTGGATTGAGAATCCTTATTTGTAGATCTGTGCGTGATTTGATTTGGGTTGATTTCGACTCCAACTGGAAATCAAAACCAAATTAGTCAGTTTAGGTGAATTTCAACCCAAATCAAATTCACTTTAACTCTTAAACCAAACTAAACCAATCCAAATCGGTTTTGTATGGGTCGATTTGGACTTTTAGTTCACATTGATTTTTTTAAAAAAAAAAATTGACCAAATTTGGTCAGTTAGATTACAAGATTAAGTGCTTGTTCGGTATTAATTTTGAGAATCGATTTTTTGACCTTGAAGAGAAAGGTGGGGGCCACATGTGAATGAAGAATTCAAAAAGTAAGGCTGAAATAGTGAAATAACTGTCAAAAGATCAATTTTTTAGGTGAAAATTCGCTCCCAAACGGGCTATAAAAATAACTAAATAACTTTATATTATAAAAATTATTGACTAACAAATAAAAGTAGGTTACTGCAAATAGATCAACAATAAACTTAAGAATCTCGTTGTCTTTTTATATATATGTGCCCTAACTGTCTCGGTAGGGAAAAAATACTAAGTATAACATAATGAGCTTTTGAAATAAAATTTTTGGTACTTATTACTTCCGTCAACATCATAGATTGAAGGGAATCGT